TTAAGTCTAGGAGATTGGACCCATTGGAATATTTTTGGTCCATGCAATAATAGCCTTTATTTTCTGTCCAGATTTGGTTTCTCACAAACTTGCACTAGGGAGTTTTTGTTTTTGTCAAACTAACCTTACCACCCTCTTTATCTTCTAAAGAGACTTTGATCTAGAGTTTTTAGCCACCCCAAGTGATGCCTAGAAGCCCATAGCATTCTATCGAGCACCTTGTGTGCATGGCCAGTTTTGGCATAGTTTTTAGTTTACATTATGAACTTGATTCCCTGATCCAGTAATCATGTCCACTAACCTCCTAGCTACCTCTAACCTTGTACTCTTATTTTGCATCGTCACCCAAGCCCTCTAGGCCACCCTGCATTCCATCGAGAACATGGCGTGCGTGCTCTGGGCGTGGCCAGAGCGCACGTTTTGCACGTGTGTGCGCCCGAGCCGCCGTGTCTTGCCCCTGGCCCTTGCTCGCCCTCAGAGCCACGCCCCGTTCTCGTTCGCTCGCCAGAACCCTCCAATCCGCCCTTGGAGCCCCGCAGCGCCACCGTCAGGTCGGCCATGGCGGCTAGCGGACGGCCGCAGCAGGCTCCTGCCATGGACGGCGCCGCCCGAGCCGCAGCCGCGCGCCACCTCGCCCCTGAACAACCCGAGCTTATCCGCGAGCATGTCCGCTAGTGCCCGTCGCCGCCACGCGCCCCCTAGGCAACAGGACGAAGGAAGCCGGCAATCTTATCCCGGACCACCGTGGAACCGACCTCGACCGCCTATAAAAGGATCCCCGAGCTCGTCCAGACCTTCAGACGACCTCGAGCCATCCCTCTAGAGCCCCCACAGCCAGCAGTCGACGGAGGGAGTCCTTCCTCCTCGTCTCTGGTCAGTTCGGCCGCCGCCACACTCCGGTCCCGTCCGTCACGAGCAGGGCCTCTCCAGTCCATCTAGTGCCACCGTCTGACTCCCCTTGACCTTGTGGAGCCACCCCACCTCTCAAACCCGATCGGGAACCACCATAGCTCGAAACCCCATTTTTCCCGAAACCACCGTCCGCCGCGGAGCTCGCCGCCAGCGACCCCCTCCACCCCCGCCAGCCTATCGACCACTGGGAGGACCGCCCTAGATTGGCAGATCCATCCCTGACCTTGGAATCCCGTGGGGAGCCGCCGTTCGTCGGCGGCAATCGCCGGAGCTCCGCCTCTGCTCGGCCAAAGGAGAAAGAAGGTGCGGGCGACTGGTCAAACCTGACCAGTGGGCCCAAGGGACCCACTGTCAGTCCATGCTGGCGTAAGTGAAAACGTATTCCACCGAATACGCCTTCGCTAGGGGAAAGCGTAAGCCCCCGAACCGTTTTCTTTTTCTAATTTTTATTAAAAACACAGTTTTGACTAAACTTTGACTGGCTATAACTTTTTAAATATAAGTCCAATTGACTTGATTCCTCTTCTGTTGTTTCTCAAATTTGGTCTAGTTTATTTTCATGTTTATTTGAAAATTTTCTAAACAACTTTTTTGTACTGTTTTGGAACTATGTGTTAATTCAAATTTTCGTAAAATAGGATTTTGAAGTAGAAGGCAACTTTCAAAAAGTGCACCCCACTTGCATACTCTTAAAGACAAGCATTCTGAACCCCGACATAATATTTGTTGTGCGTCATTCGATGCATATACAACACCACCGTGACGCGAAGTATTCGGCATTTTATGTGGTGCTATGATCATATTCATGAGTGCATAATAATGATTCATTGATGTTGGAATTTGATATGCTTCGGATAGTAATCGCCCTCGTATGCCTTTCGTGCCTATCGGAAGGAATCCGGGAAAGTCTCTGTCTTGGGTAGACGCGAGCTTGTCTCTAGTTCCTTGTCGAGACGGTTATGTCTAGTAAGGCATGGTGAGTTATGATGAGTGGTGATTCTGTCTGATTGGTGTGAAATATATTTTTGATGCTTATCATGCAGGAACTGTCTTAACCTCCTGAGTCGACCGTAGATCGAGTCTTGTTCTAGTAACCCCCATACTTGTTTCGTACTACCACTTGTCCCTGCCATAGGTAGGTTACGGTTCAGTAAGTTGTCAACTCCTTCCTAGCACACACCGTACAGAGAGGCCATGGTGGAAGATACCGGCTGCATCCGGTAGACATGCCACCTGGTCCGGGGGCATGGGTGCTTCCAGTTGGAGCCGAGGGGGTAGCTCCCCTAGTTTACGCGTGTTATAAATTTTGTGATCCCATGCTAGTCGAGGTTGTAGCCTCCCCACTTAGAGTTTTGCTTAACGGGTGTCGTGGGTGATTCCAGACACCGGTAAGTTAGGCTGGTGTGTGCGGTGAGGTGTGTTTTCAATTAAAAGACCATAGACGGAATTAGTCCCGATGGACTAAAGGAATCAGTTACTCGTGGGTAAAGAGTACACCCTCTGCAGAGATTATATCTATTCGAATAGCCGTGTCCATGGTGAAGGACTACAGTCTGGGATGGGTCAAGTGTCGGTCTTAGTGTCGGTCTTCGGAGGAAAAATTGTTAAACTAGAACATGGATCGTGACTTGTGACTCATGATGATTATGATTACTATTATTATGGACTAACCATTTACATTATTTGAATTATTGAGTATCCCTGGGACGGTTCTACCTCCTGGATATTCACTGTGATTATCCTCTTATAAGCCCTTTATGTGGTGTCGCTCAGACGCCCGACTGTGGCATGCTTGTTATTTAAATTATTTATAAGCCCTTTATGTGGTGTCGCTCAGACGCCCGACTGTGGCATGCTTGTTATTTAAATTATTGATAAGCCCTTTATGTGGTGTCGCTCAGACGCCCGACTGAGGCATGCTTTATATTATTATCCTTTCGAGGCGTCGCTTCAGACACCCGATCGGTGCATTCTATTTCTACTCCCTTATTGCATATTCATGTTGTATATGAATAACCTGCTTGCGTGCATCATGGATTTTATTTTTATTTTGTGACTGACGTGGTGATCAAAGAATATTTCAGAGCATGATTATCATTTTTTATATTATACCTGTGTTCATAATGTTTGCTAGTACATTCATAACTACTCACTGGCTTGTCCCTGGCTATTGTCTTGGCCAAATTTCTTGCATGGAGAGGAGCGTTGCGATGACAGCCCCGGAACCTACGCAATGACGATAGCAGCCTCGCGAAGATAGGAGTTATCCAGGTCAGCTATTCCTGTGGGAAATGGAGTCCCATAGACACTGATGAACCAAAAACAGCTTCCGCCATCAGCCACTAGAAACCATTTGTTGTACTCATAGGCCAGAATGGTCTTGTACTACATATTATGTATTTTGCTTGGAGTTTTGCTATGTATTGAGCTAGCGTTGGTTTTCCCCGAAGAGGAGAGGGTGATGCAGCAAGTGTAGCGTAAGTATTTCCCTCAGTTTGAGAACCAAGGTATCAATCCAGTAGGAGGCTCCTCAAAAGTCCCACGCACCTACACAAACAAACTGAGAACTCGCAACCAACGCAATAAAGGGGTTGTCAATCCCTTCACGGCCACTTGCGAAAGTGAGATTTGATAGAGATAGTATGATAAGATAAATATATTTTTGGTATTTTATAATATATATGCAAAAAGTAAAGATGCAAATAAAAGTAGATTGAAAGCAAATAAGATAAGAGATAGACCCGAGGGCAATAGGTTTCACTAGAGGCTTCTCTCGAGATAGCATAAGTATTACGGTGGGTGAACAAATTACTGTCGAGCAATTGATAGAAAAGCGCATAGTTATGAGATTATCTAGGCATGTATATAGGCATCACGCCCATAACAAGTAGACCAACTCCTGCCTGCATCTACTACTATTACTCCACACATTGACCGACTCCTGCCTGCATCTAGAGTATTAAGTTCATAAGAACAGAGCAACGCATTAAGCAAGATGACATGATGTAGAGGGATAAACTCATGCAATATGATATAAACCCCATCTTGTTATCCTCGATGGCAACAATACAATACGTGTCTTGCAACCCTTTCTGTCACTGGGTAAGAACACCGCAAGATTGAACCCAAAGCTAAGCACTTCTCCCATGGCAAGAAAGATCAATCTAGTAGGCCAAACCAAACTGATAATTCGAAGAGACTTGCAAAGATAACTCAACCATACATAAAAGAATTCAGAGAAGATTCAATTATTATTCATAGATAAATCTGATCATAAACCCACAATTCATCGAATCTCGACAAACACACCGCAAAAAGAGATTACATCGAATAGATCTCCACAAGAGAGGGGGAGAACATTGTATTGAGATCCAAAAAGGGATAAGAAGCCATCTAGCTAATAACTATGGACCCGTAGGTCTGTGGTAAACTACTCACAACTCATTGGAGGGGCAAGGATGTCGATGTAGAAGCTCTCCATGGTCGATTCCCCCTCCGGGAGAGTACCGGCGAAGGCTCCAAGATGAGATCTCGCAGATACAGAAGGTTACGGCGGTGGAAATTGTGTTTCGTGGTGCTCCTGGATGTTTTCAGGGTACGTAGGTATATATAGGAGGAAGAAGTATGTCGGTGGCCGCCCAAGGGGCCCACGAGACAGGGGGCGCGCCCTTAAGGGGGGGGCCCTCCTATCTCGTGGCTTCCTCGACAGCTTTTTGGCTTGCACTCCAAGCTCTCCTGATCACGTTTGTTCCAAAAATCACGCTCCCGAAGGTTTCATTCCGTTTGGACTCCGTTTGATATTACTTTTCTTCGAAATACTGAAATAGGCAAAAAACAGCAATATGGGTTGGGCCTCCGGTTAGTAGGTTAGTCCCAAAAATGATATAAATGTGTAAAATAAAGCCCATAAACATCCAAAAGGGGTAATATAATAGCATGGAACAATCAAAAATTATAGATACGTGGGAGACGTATCAAGTTTCTGTATCAAGTTGGTGTCTCATCAGCTAACAGTAATCCTGAGGCTGGTGAGCACAAGGGCCATTTTTTGGGAAATTAATATCCTGGAAAACCGGTCGCGACAGCAGGCGGCGGCGAGGCGCACGGAGAAGGCCGACGTGTACAACTTCAGCATGATCAGCTTCGAGCTGTTGACCGGCAAGATCCCGTTCGAGGACAACCACCTGCAGGGGCACAACATGAGCAAGAAAATCCACGCCGGTGAGAGGCCGCTCTTCCCGTTCCAAGCGCCCAAGTACATGACCGGCCTCACCAGGCGCTGCTGGCACGGTGACCCGGCGCAGCAGCCGACGTTCAGCTTCATCTGTCGCGTCCTCCGTTACGTCAAGAGGTTCCTCGTCATGAACCCGACACAGCACTGTGGCCAGGGTGACGTGTCGATGCCAGCACAGCCGCCGACACCGTCGGTGGACTACCTGGACATTGAGGCGCTGCTGCAGAAGAAGCTCCCGGCGTGGCAGTAGCGGCAGGGGCGGCGCCGCGCGTGTCAGGCGTACCGTTTGAGATGTACGCATACAGGATGATGGAGAGGAAGAGGGGCATGACTGCGATCCTGCACGTCGACAGGAGCTCCGACTACGGCAGCGAGGCCAACTCATTGTGCAGCGACGAGGGCATGCACAGTGGCGCGACGATGCCGGACGTCATCGAGACGGTCCCGACGTCGAGCCCGCGCGCCAAGACGTGGTCATAGTCGCCGTCCTCCAAGAGCAGCGGCAACAACAGTAATTGTGCACGCACCAACTCCGACCGCGATGTCTGCTGCTTCGCCCAGGACTCCCATCCGGGTTGCCCGCTGGAGCACCGACAGGCCGGCCTAATTGAGCGCTACGGCCGTCCCAGTGAGGCGGGCCCGGCGGACGGATCTGGCGAGGGCGAGTTCGGCGGAGGTCCGGCGATGGGAAGCATGCGGCGCCAGCGGCGGGAGGCGCGACCGGGGCGGCAAGCGAAGTAGGCGAGGGTGTGCTCAGAGATGAGCTGCTAAGAAAGGAGAGGGATTGGGGAAGGTTAGGGAGGTGATTATCTGTAAACACGTACGAGCCGAGCCACCCACGTGCACTCAAGAACATCGCTCGGGCTTGGTTCACAAGAAACTGTCAATTTGGCCATTTCCAGTGAGCCAGGCCAGAGGTGCTTTAAGAACCGTGCTATGTAGGCCCAACATTATATGCGTGGAACCAAAAAACCCACCTCCAAAACGATGCTGCATCACGCGGGCCTGGTTGGGCTCGATGCGGGCAACCAAACTCGCCCTAGGTGTCTCTCCTCATTACGAATCCGTGCAGAGTAGCGACACACAAAGGGAAAGAGATCATCTGTGTTTATCTGAGACTAACACAGTTCCAGTCAGTTGCTATGAAGCCATAAAAAAAGTTACCAATGGCCTAGGAGATTGTCAAAAGATGATGGTGTCTTGCGGCCATTACATGGGTCTTGCTTAGAAAGATGACGAAAATAACGAAAGGTCATGTTGCAGTCGCGAAAGAGTCTTAAGCGATCATAGTGGACCCTTTGCAAGATTTGTGGTGAGATTACATTTAGAATTTTCAAATGTGTGGGAATGAGAATGGGTAAGTTGAATGCATAAGACTATGGATTACATATAAGGACAACATTTATCATCATATTGAAATTGCAATTCGTTTGCCCTCTTCTGCTATGCCATAGAATTGAAATAATTGGTTGATCAAAAGAACTAAATAGTAACACTTCAAGCATACTAATCATAGTAATCATGTCTTCTCAAAATAACATGGCAAAAAAAGTTCATCCCTACAAAATAATATAGTTAGGCTATGCTTCATTTTCATCACACAAAGATGTTCCCAACTTCTATACCCCCGATGACAAGCCAAGCAATTGTTTCATACTTAAATAATCTCAAACTTTTTCAACCTTCACGCAATACATGAGCATGGGCCATGTATATAGCACTATGGGTGGAATAGAATATGATGATGGGGATTGTGTGGAGAAGACAAAAAAAGAGAAAGTCTCACATTGACGAGGATAATCAATGGGCTATGGAGATGCCCATCAATTGATGTCAACATGAGGAGTAGGGATTGCCATGCAACGGATGCACTAGAGCTATAAATAAATGCTCAACAAAAGAAAACTAGATGGTGTGCATCCAACTTGCTTGCTCACGAAGACCTAGGGTATTTGAGGAAGCCCATCGTAGGAATATACAAGCCAAGTTCTATAATGAAAAATTCCCACTAGTATGAAAAAGACAACTTATGAGACTCACTATATGAAAAACATGATGCTACTTTGAAGCACAATATATGAGACTCACTACATGAAGAACAAGGTGCTACTTTCAAGCACAAGTGTGGAAAAAGAGATAGTAGCACTACCCTTTTTATTTATTTCTTTATTTCTTTTCTTTTCTTTTTCTTTTTCTTTTTCTTTTTCTTTTTTTGGGCCTTTCTCTTTTTTTTCTTTTGGCCTTTCTTTTTTTGGGCAATGCTCTAAAAATGATGATCATCACACTTCTATTGATTACAACATATGAATTACAACTCAAAACTAGAACAAGATATGACTCTATATGAATGCCTCTGGCGGTGTACCGGGATGGTGCAATGAATCAAGAGTGACATGTATGAAAAATAATGCATGGTGGCTTTGCCACAAATACAATGTCAACTACATGATCATGCAATGGCAATATGACAAAAGTAATGTATGTCATGATGATGATAAACGGAATGGTGGAAAGTTGCATGGCAATATATCTCGGAATGGCTATGGAAATGCCATAATAGGTAGGTATGGTGGCTGTTTTGAGGAAGATATAAGGAGGTTTATGTGTGATAGAGCGTATCATATCGTGGGGTTTGGATGCACCGGCGAAGTTTGCACCAACTCTCAAGGTGAGAAAGGGCAATGCACGGTACCGAATAGGCTAGCAATGGTGGAAAGGTAAAAGTGCGTATAATCCATGGACTCAACATTAGTCAAAAGAACTCATATACTTATTGCAAAAAAATTAGAAGTCATTAAAAATCAAGTACTATGCATATGCTCCTAGGGGGATAGATTGGTAGGAAAAGACCATCGCTCGTCCCGGACCACCACTCATAAGGATGCACAAGCCAGGTATACTTCATGTTTCAAATTTGTTACATAACTTTAACCATACGTGCATGCTACGGGACTTGCTAACTTCAACACAAGCATTCTTTAAATTCATAATCACCCAACTAGCAATGAATTTAATATCACTACCTCCATATCTCAAAACAATTATCAAGCATCAAGTTGATCATAGCATCCAATTCACTTTCTATGATAGTTTTTATTATACCCAATTTGGATGCTCATCATTCTAGGACCAACTTTATGATAATAGCAAAAACCATGCTGTTCTAAAAGACTCCCAAAATAATATAAGTGAAGCATGAGAGACTAGCAATTTCTTCATAATTAAGATACCACCGTGCTCTAAAAGATATAAGTGAAGTACTAGAGCAAAAACTATCAAGCTCAAAAGATATAAGTGAAGCACATAGAGTATTCTAGCAAATTCTAATCAAATAGGCTTCTCTCAAAAGATGTGTACAGAAAGGATGATTGTGGCAAACTAAAAAGCAAAGACTAAAATAATACACGACGCTCCAAGCAAAACACATATCATGTGGCGAATAAAAATATAGCTCCAAGTAAAGTTACCAATGAACGAAGACGAAAGAGGGGATGCCTTCCCGGGGTATCCCCAAGCTTAGGCTTTTGGCTATTCTTGAATATCTTGGGGTGCCTTGGGAATCCCCAAGGTTAGGCTCTTGCCACCCTTTATTCCATAGTCCATAAAAGCTTTACCCAAAACTTGAAAACTTCACAACACAAAACTCAACAGGAAATCTTATAAGCTCCGTTAGTGAAAGAAAACAAAACCACCACATAAGGTACTGCAATGAACTCATTCTTTACTTATTTTGGCGTTAAACCTACTGTATTCCAACTTCCTTATGGTTTATTAACTAATTTACTAGCCATAGATGCATTGAAATAAGCAAACAACACACGAAAAACAGAACAGTCTGTAGCAATCTGTAACTAACGCAAACTTCTGGAACTCTAAAAATCTTACCAAAATAGGATGTACTGGAAAATGTGTTTATTAATCAGAAGAAAAAAGAATCAATGCAAAATCTCGTTTCTGTGATTTATTGATTTTTTCTCGTGAGCGCAAAGTTTCTGTTTTTCAGCAGAATCAAATCAACTATCATCATAGTTTATCCTATAGGTTCTACTTGGCACAAACACTAAATAAAACATGAAAACACATCTAAACAGAAAATAGATGCAAGATTTAACACTAAACAGGAACAAAAACAAATAACATAAAGAAAAATTGGGTTGCCTCCCAACTAGCGCTATCGTTTAACGCCCCTAGCTAGGCATAAAAGCGAAGATAGATCTAAGGAGTGCCATCTTTGGCACTACATTCATAAGTAGCACGCATGATAGATTCATAAGGTAATTTGACTTTCTTTCTTGGAAAGTGATCCATGCCTTTCTTTAAGGGAAATTCGAATCTAATGTTCCCTTCCTTCATATCAATAATCGCACCAATCGTTCTAAGGAAAGGTCTACCAAGAATAATAGGGCAAGAAAGATTGCAATCTATATCAAGAATGATAAAATCTACGGGCACCAAATTTCTATTTGCAACAATAAGGACATCATTGATCCTCCCCATAGGCTTTTTAATGGTGGAATCCACAAGGTGCAAATTTAAAGAGCAATCTTCAAGATCATGGAAACCTAGAATATCACATAAAGTTTCCGGAATCGTGGAAACACTAGCACCCAAATCACACAAAGCAAAACACTCATAATCTTTAATTCTAATTTTTATAGTAGGTTCCCACTCATAATTAAGTTTTCTAGGTATAGAAACTTCCAAATTAAGTTTTTCATCATAAGATTGCATCAAGGCATCAACAATGTGTTTGGTAAAAGCTTTGTTTTGACTATAAGCATGAGGAGAATTAACAACGGATCGCAACAAGGAAATACAACCTTTTAAAGAGCAATTCTCATAGTCAAATTCCTTGAAATCCGAGATAGTGGGTTCAACATTATTAGAAGTTGAGGATTCTCCAATCTCACTTTTACCAAATTTAGCATTAAGATCTAAAGACTCCCAATTCTTGGGACGTCTTCTAGGGAAAGTTGATTCATCATCAGTCCCAAAATCATAAAAATTCATATTACAAAACATAGATCTAATAGGAGACGCATCAATAACTTTAAGATCCTCATCATTATTTTCACGTAATTTTTCTGGTTTAGCGGCCATCTTATTGACTAAGGCGGCTTGCTTGTCAGAAATTTTGGCTAAAGCATTTTCAAGCCGGGTAATTTGAGCGTTAACACCATAGAATTCTTTATTCATATCATCAAGCTCTTTGTTCATAAACCCCAAAAAACTTTTTTGTTCCTTAATCTC